ATTATATACATCCATTTATAGATTCACGCAGAGCTTAATTTTATCTTAATCATCTGCTAACTGCTTGTTTGTAGTTAGATAATCTTATGTTTATCGTATTATTTATTTTGATTGAATGGATTTCCATTTTCAGAATTATTTCATATTAAATCTATTTATCAAATAATTGTTTGTTTTTTTTATAAAGGAATTGACTTATACTCATTAGGTTTAAGATCGCTCATTCTATGATATTCTTCGTCACACAAAGACTTATAATTTTTTTTCTCTACTGATATATATTTTACAGGAAATTAGTCAATATCAACATGAATTAGAACGTTCAAATGCTACATTTAATCAACAAGAGGAAGTAGGACGTATATTAACTCAACGTAACGATGAAATTGAACGAATTCTTCAACAACGTCGACAACAAATAAATGAACTTGAAAGTGAATTAATCAAATTAGAAGATTCAGTTATTAATAGTAAGTCTAATAATTCATTAAATATGTTCTAGTTAAACATTTCCTATATGAATTTTAGCCAATATGTAAATAAAACTTAGACGAGGTTTGTTTTTTTTTAAGCTTCAAAATTTCTATTCATCACATCGCGCACATATCACATGAATACACCTATATAATTTATTTAATCTTTAAGATTAATTTCGTCTTTTTATTATTTTAAGGTCTTATTCATCCTAGTTATAATTTCCGTCCAAATTCATCTACTCCACAACATTATAATTCATTACCATCAACAAATTCACTTCTATCATCATCTGCAGGTACAACAACAGATGCTCTTATGCCTATTCGTCTTCAATTAGTGAATAGTACTTTATGGAAATTATGTCCAAGTGGGATATGGGTTTAGAAAAAAAAAACAAATCTTTTTATTATATTTATCAGTTATTTTTTTAAATATTTGAATGAATAAAGAAATATTTAACTGTTTTAGTATGAAATATGATTGATAAGTTAAGCGACAAAGTTAGAAATATTGATATTTTTATCTATGTACATTTGATATACAACATGAGTTAAGTAATGAAAGATGTAAATGCGTTAATTAGGATATAAATGCCACGTAACTTAATAATAAAAAATAAAAGATGTTGATGTTAAATAAGATATTTCTAACAAGGATATAATACTATATATCTTGAATAAACTTCTATAGTATCGTAGTTAATCATGTAAATATCTATCTACTTAGGGCAATTCAATGAGTAATGACAGTAGCACTTTAGCATCGTGAAGAAACCTTGAGAAAAATTTCTCTATGTATGCATCAATAATAAAAGCAATGCTCTATATTTGTGCAATATTCCATCATTTTTTAAGTAATATAATAGTATTAATATTTCGATCACAGCTATTGGTTAGGATAAATGACTGCTAGACTAATGGTCATTTTAAAGAAACAGAAGCGACTGAGTATTTTTTTTGAATCGTTTTTAATATAAATCAGATAGGAAACTGGAAGATAAAGGTGCATCAAGTAATACATAACAGGTTTTCTTTTGTAGAAAAGAACAAGCAAAGAATTATTTTTTTTTTACTGGAACTAATAGAAAAATGAACTTATGAGAAAATATTTCTAAGTGTCAAATTGTAGTGAAGTATGAATATTGTGAAAAGAATTCAGGCTAATTGCTTATAACTACCGAGATACTGTATTTTTTAGCAGAATACCATGTTTCCTGTCGGAAACACCAGGAAAACTCACTTTCGAATTTCGACTTGAAACTTTACATAGAGACACGCCTTAACAAGAATAGCTTATTGTGAAAGTTTCAAAGTATTCTATTGCGCCCATTCTAAAATATATACATTGGATTTTGCCGTTTTGATATGATTTTATCATAGTCGTATCTTAAGATAGAAACAATCAAAGATTTGAAACTTTTACAATAAATTATTCATATTAAGGCGTGTCTCTGTGCAAAATTTCCAGTTGAAATTGGAAAGTCAGTTTTCTTGGTGTTCCTTATGTAAATCACGGTATTCTTTTAATAAGTATAGTATCTCAACAGTAAAAAGCTATATATCCAAACTATTTTCAATTACCAGTAGAACGGCTATATTGTCTGAATGAATAAATCTAAACATATGAGTCTTGCGCATTTTTATAGATATTTGACTAGCAGTTTGAATGGACATCTGATAATTGAAATCTTACTTTAAGCACCTCATTGGATAGATTACTCTTCAAACAGGACGATTGAAGATCTTTAAAAAAAATCTGCAATACGCGATTCGACGAGTCTTAATCTCCTCTTTCTAAATGTGAAAACCATAGTGGTCTATTCTATTTTCTATCAAAAGTCATTAAAAAAAAACACCAAACCATCTCGCTTTCTTTCAAGTGAGCATTATTGTCACAGTCACTTATGATAACAAATGACTTCTATCGAAGTTTTATTACTATGACACTAGTTGAAAAATGATGAATTATTACAGAATATAATGTATTATGTTTTTACTATCAGTGCATGCAGAAAAAAACTTTCATTACGATATTTAAGTACTACCGCCACTACTTTGAATTTCACAAAGTATTATACATATGTAATCTTTGAAATTATGAGACAAGAAATTTGATCTTCTAAACGATATATTTCATTACTAAAAAGAGAAAAAAATCAACGCATTGTTAATTGTGTCAGTTTTACATATCTAAAAATCGAATCAAGAACTTTTCCAAATATCTGACAAGCATTAAATTTCTTTATATTAATTATGTAATTAAATTATTGTTTCTTTGTCAAACAACTATTCTGTATTTGCTTGAAAAAGGTTTCTTTTTATACGACTTCTTTTGCTCAGTTTATTTCTATAGAAAAAGAAAGCAGTAAGTTAAAATGTTTCATGGTCGTACGGTACATTGAATAAAAATTGATTCCAAATTTGCATCTTACTGTACGTTTGCAGCATGTAACAGTGCGTGGAGTCTTTACATTATAGTGGAGTGATGCGAAAAAGAATTTTTTTTTTCTTTTATTTTGATTTTTAAAAAAATTCTTCAAGTACAAAAAAATAATGTTCTATGTAATAGAGAAATTGTAACAGAAGAAAATAATACTCTATATTCATGTTGATTAGTAGATGAAAAATTACATTTTGAATTTTTAAAAGTATTGATAGAATCGGTTGTAAGATATAGATCATTTTAAATAAAGTTACAACAAAAGAATGACTGGAAGACGTATTGATGATGTACGACAGTGAAAAGGTATGAGAGTATATTTCATGTTATAATATATATCATTTAAATTTTAGAGGAAATCTTCGATTGTTGTTCGGATATAAATATATGTTGTTATGGTTGTTTTTGTACTGCTTGTCTATTTGGTGAAAATGTTCACAAAGTTTATCCAGATGCTGAATTTTGTGATGCTTGTTATTGTTTGACAGAAGCAGGCTGTTGTTGTCTTATACATAAACCAGTACGACGATGTTTTCGTGAAGCATATGGATTAAAAGAAGGTCATGAATTATCTGGTGATTTATGTGCATTATGGTGGTGTTCACCTCGTGGTGTTTGTCAAGAAGTACGTGAAATCAAAATTCGAGGTTAAACATAAATAAATTGGTCTCATAGATATATGTTCTATTTATTGATAATAGGCAATCCACCAACGGCGGCAATAGGCAATCTAACGGATGCTCCAGTTTCCACAAGGTGAAATCAATCAAGAATAACGTTGCCAGCTACAGATACTTTAGTCACTCAACTACGATACATTTTGAACAATAATGATTTTCTATCTATTTAATCAGGCATGAATTTTATTAAGATATTTCAAACTTTTTTTGTATAATTTGAAAATATATTAACGGATCAATAAAAGAAAAAGCTGTTTGCGTTTCACTGAATATTTAGAAGTTTTATAAAAGTTTAAGCTAATATATGGTTTAAAAATCATTTGATAAAAATTTTGAAGTATGTTTACTTATTGATAATTTTAGTCATTGAATGACAGTACATAACTAGATATTCATACAAATGTAAACATGAGCTTTTATACTTGTTTAGTTGTCATTTTTCGTTCTTGAGTATTTACCTTCATTCCTAATAATACGATTGAAGTCCGCTATTCTCCCTATTTTGTCATCGCTACCTTAAAGAAACAAATTTAATTCATAACGATCACGTTGTTGAATTGATGTAATGGACCATATCTGATGAAGAACAATACAGATTTTTCAATAATATACATTGAATATTAAAAAAAATACAGAAAACTATTTAGTATTTTATGAAACACGATCTAATAGGAGTGTTGAAGTATACGGAGAGATATTTGGACGCCATCATCACGGACATGCCAGTCTTCCTAGCAATGAGCCATCATAGACGTAAGAGACATCCTTAGCAACGTTCATCCCCTGCGTCACAGATCGTATATCAATAACATCTCATTATAATATATGAACTAATTCCTTATTACATTTTCTGAAGATTAAGTAAAAGCATGGTGACCAAATACGACCAAAAATAGATAGAATAAAACAATCTTTCTATGATTAGCAACAGCAACTACATTGTGTTTCACATTTTAATTTCATAGGGATTGCACTAATAGCGTTTCATAATATTACAGTAAATAATAGATCTTACTTTAATCAGAAATATGAATTAAAAGTACAAAACAAAGAATATTATAAACAAAACTGAACTAAACAATTCAAATATAAAACTGGATATATAATTCGAAGTTCATATTTAACGAGAATCGAATTCAAATACATTTAGACTTTCAACTAAATTACTACTAGAAAAGAAGTCATGTTTTCATTTATTCATAGATGATTATTTAAGATACGCATAAGGGTATGAATGTTGTTAACCTCTTCGCTCACATCCGCATCAATATTTGTACAATTGGTGGTTTATCAAGTTAAATAAAAATTAAAAAGATAATAATTCTATTTATTTTAATATGTCATTCATATTAAATTTAATATAAAAATAAAACTTCGATGCACTGGATATAAATGAAAATGTATTTACATTCCAACTGCTTCATAACTTAGCTTCCATAATTGATTAGCTAATTCATAATTTGTACATAAAGATGAAACTGTTTCAACAGCACAATCTCTACAAAGTCTCAAATAAATTAATCTAATCAGAATGTCTAATGGAATTCTTACTCGAAATAGAAGTCATGACGATGCTGTAGAGTTGGTTCAACAGTACAAAAAACACTTGTTCGCGCACCTGTCTTCGGTGTTTTAGCTAAGATAAATTCAAGTATATATAATATCGGATAAAAAATAATAAATAGAATATGTCCAATAACTTCTGGCATCGATGCTTGAATTGATGTCCATACCCAACTAGGATTTACTGCGAAAACATCAACATCATCTATTATATAAACATATATACATATAGAAAACGAATTAACAAAAAAATTATCTATATATATATATATATATCAATGTGCCCGAATCTAGATCATGTCTGAGCTTATAGGTAAATAATAGCATAAATGCTTTTGATACTGGATAAGCACCCCATAAACGAAAATTCTTAGATTGTGTAAAAGCGTCCGACCAATCAATCGACCAGACAGCTAGGCAAATATAAATTTTATTTCAAACACTTTAGAAATGATTATCTATAGAAATTTTGTATAAAAATAAGTTCAGTATTTCAATATAACATCTATAAGTTATGGAATAGCTTCTATTTTCAATTAGTTTACTCATTTGATAAATTGACATTATCTCGGACACATTATTAACTTACTTCGATGTGAACCAGATGCAACATTAACAATTCGGCTTGATTGACATTGTTTTAATTTAGTCAAAAGAAGATTTGTTAGTAAAAAATGACTCAGATAATTCACTTGTATAACTGTATTAAAACCATCTTTAGTAAGAAGATTCGGTGCTCAAGCAATGTCAGCATTACAAATCAATACATCAAGTCGTTTTTCTTCTTCAATACAAAGTTTAGCAAGCTTTCGAACAGATTCAAAGAACGAAAATCACATTCTATCAATCGAATATCTTTTTCATTACATCCAGTTTTAACTTTAAGTTGTTTTACGACTTGATTACCTTTTTCTATATTGTAATCAGCAAGTACCACACGTGCACCTATATAACACTTGAATGAACGTTTCATTCAAAACTATATTCTGATCTAACCTCGTTGAAGCAGATCTTTAGCTGTTTCATATCCAATGCCATTAACGCCCCGGTAATAAGAATGGTTTTGTCATTCATCGAGTGACTACTGGAAAAGAATGGTCGATTAACACGAAATTTATTATAAATCCATGAGATGATTACTAAACAGATATTGATTAGTAAGAGAATTTATGTGAGAATAGAAGAAAAGAAAAACGTCTATCACCTAGTCCAGTTAGAATAGAAACACTCGTACGGTATTGATCAAAGAATTGATAAACTATTGAAATGATTTTATCAATGGTGTTCATGATCGTCATTGTTTTATTTTCTAAGATATGATAATGTCATGTTCTTAAATAAATAGTTTGATTTTTAAAATTAACAATAAAAATTTCATTATTTTTAATTCGGAATTATGCTCATATTCATATGAAATCTAGAATTTTTCAAAACTTATTTTACGAAAAGAAATAAATTTATATAGATTATAAATTACAACATTGATCGAAGAATTTATAAATAAATTAATTAACAAAAAAACAATTTCATCTAGATAATAAAATCTTAATGGCATATTCTTCTGTCAATAAGCATACCTTTAAGAGCACCGTTATAATTTTACCTGAACTCTTTTTTTTTTATTAAGTACAACTCATTGTGATCAATCTTATTGTTCTTCCTGTTGGACTTTCAACGTCTTTTTTAAGGTCAAATAACGATAAATAGCATCCAATTCTTCTTTAAATTTTTCAAAACAAAAAAAACAACATTCAAGTAACATACCATATACGCAATAACAAAAAAAAAACACTTAAATAAATATCTCATATTTAGAATAAAAAAATAGATATCTTTATTTCTTTATCACAGCTGTAAACTTATTAAAAAGAAAAAAGAATTCTAGGACATTATCTAAAGATTGCTATCTTAAATTTATTATAGAATATCCTTTTATCTTGCTTAGTAATTTTCTTTGTATGTCTATTTTTCTCGCTGTAATCGTTGATTATAGCAGCTCACTCGCAGAAGTGATCTATGAATCTAATGTTATCAAGATTGAATGTGGGACGTATAAGAAAATGACTTGCAGAGCTTGCTAGTTTTACTGGATAATAAAGAATAATTTTCAATTATTACTGGGTGTAGGTTTCCCAAATATGTTCCTATCTATCATTAAGAGATTCATTAAAATATTTCTTTACCAAACATTTTAAACATAAACTATTGATAAAAAAAATATCATTAATAATATAAAATATATCTATTGATATTTATCGTATCGAAAATATTCTTAATTTAAGTTTTAAAATAAAATAGAAAAATTTCAATTCCATATTTATTTTTAATGTGTGAGTGTATAACTGTTAGAAAAGCTGCCACAGAATGCTTACACAACACAAACACACACCACATAAATCATTCATCAACCTCTATAATACAAACAAAGAAACAAAATGAAAATGGCCACTGCTATCTGAGAAAAAAAAAGAGATTCTATATACAAAAATCATCATCTCTAGTCGTGGGTTGGTTACTCTTTTTTTTTATAGGAAAATAAAAAGGAATTAAACATAGATAATAGTAGGAGGACCAGTAATCATATGAATTTCAGGATGAGACGATTGTTGTTGATGAGATTCATCATTATCACTACTAATTATTTCATGTTCTTCTTCTTCATCATCATTACTACTACATGCACTACATTGTAACATAGCATCATCTTCAGTCCATGTAGCTGGTTCAAGTTCATTATTTGATGAACTTGTACCTATTGTTGTGGTATTTGTTTCAATCATTGAATGTGTTGATGTTTGTTCAAGTGATTGTAATGGAATATTTCTTAATGATGATAAACTTTGTTTTGCATTGTTATTATTATTATTATCATTATGATTATCATTTAATGTTGACATTAAATCATATTTAACATATGAAAACATATTTGATGGTCTGGAATTAATCATAGTTGAATGATGAGAATTTGTAGGTGAACGATGATGAATTGTGGTTGATTGATTTGGAGATGATAGAGATCTATGTCGTCCATGTAATAATTTGAAAATAAGAGTTAATATAACAAAAATAAGAATAAGAATTAATATGGAAAATATAATAACGATTGTCACACCTAAACGTGATGGAGATATAGGAACTAAAATATAAAAAAAAGAATAAAAATAAAAAAAAATTATTTTTGTTAATTTTTTCAAATGAATGGAAAAAGACGAATATCCAGGCTGATACTCACACTAGCGTTTTATGTAGACTTTCTTTTCCGGAGGGATAATTTAAAACTTCAAGAGTTTTTCACAGTCTATATTAAGGGAGAAAGGAGTGTTACTAAGGCATCTGCTAGAATCTGTGATTGAGGAGGATGGGCGTTGTCAGGTATATCTATCACGATCTACAAGGGAGGTACAAATCTGTATTCTATTATACTTCAACACTCCTTTTAAATCGTGTTTAACATAACTCAATTCATCCAGTCATGTTTAAATCTCATGTTAGATACATACGTTTGCCTTGATCGTGAATAAAAGGTAATTGATCACGGCAAATAGGACAGCAATGACCCGATAATGTAAGTGTATGTACACAAGTCAATGAAGGACATTTATGTTGATGGCATACAATTGTACCATATAAACATTCACAACGATGACATTCGCTTACCTAAGAAATAAATTTAAAATGAAATAATATTTTAAGAAGAAAAAGATTGTTTCTTTTTTTTGTTAAACTAACATTCCAGTGTTCACCCGAACGATATTGAACATAATTAAAAATACAAACAGCAACAGCGGCTGTTGGTGGTAGACAAAATGGACAACATTGACCTTTTTTAAGTACTGGATTTGAACATGGTAAATTTTGATCACATGTTTGTGAAAAACATTCAATTTTTCCACCATTACCACGTGGACAAAGACATGATTGACAATCATCATGTTTCCATAATTCTCCTGCATTTTTTATTATTCCATTATCAAGTATACAAATATCTTCATCTATATTTGATATATGATTAGTTGGTAATAAGTCTGGTTTTGTAGGAGGACATATTGGACAACATAAAGATGCATCATATATTGGTGATGAACAACGTAACGGAGGACATAATGGTAAACTGCAAAATGCAATATTATGCAAACATACACATTTTGTACATGTGTCAAATTCAAGTTCTTCACCAGTAACATATTGACTGGCATAGCATACTTGAGATGATGGAATAGGTTCAGGTAACATTGGAATTTCTTTAAAACAAAAATAAAATATATACAAAAAGAAAAGAAAAAGAAAATCTAACCTGGACATGAAGGACAACATCGATTTGGTAAACGAATTGGTTGTGAACATTTAGGAGTTGGACATGATATAAGTGCACATAATGGTTCATCTTTATGACATAAACATTGACGACAACCATCAAACCATATTTCACCATTTGAATAAGACAATGAACCTGAATAACATAGTTTTGACCGTGAAGGTTTTAAAAGATCAGTAATTTTTGTATTATTATGTGTTTTTATATTACTTTCACAAACACATATTGGACAACCAACTTCATTTCGTTTTAAACCATACGTACAATTTTTAGTACAAGCTAATAATGGACATGGATTACATTCACATGTTGGGCAACCAGTTTGTTTATCAATTGAATAATTATATGGACAATGTTTATCACAATTTAATTGTCCACAATTAAGACCGCTCGGTGATATACATGAGCAATATTGTTTTGATGATCGATCAAATTTAAGTGTACATAGTGGTGATGGACATGACATGGTTGAACACGCACATTGTAAACAACCTTGTTCATCTTTAGTTAAACCATGTTCACATACCAATAAACATTTATCAAGTCGAGGACATTTATCAGTTGTTTTATGTAATTGTGTGGAAATGCTTGCGTCAGTTTCATGCGAATAGTCAACATCATCTTCGGGTACACTACATACGGGACAACAAATATTTGCTATTTGACGGGGATTTTCACAAGGTGGAGCTATACATCCTTCGGCAATACAACGTGATCGACCATCTTCACACCAACATCGCATGCAACCATTTGATTCAATCCATGTTGAATTCATGTCTTGAACATGTGAACGATCATTTAAACAACCTATATAAACCAAACAGATGTCATTATGAAGTTTTAATTAGAGAACAAAAAATACGTAAGCTTGTAGTCAAAGTCTTTTTCTATCTAATAATGTATGCAGTATCAAGTTCTATTCTCTACCGTTGACATGACAATAGATGGTGTCATCTTCGTTGCATTCTATAGTGTGCAGTCGAACTTGGTAATACATATTCTCTTAGATAGAGAAAGCCTTTCTCTAGAAACCTACATACATTCGTTTCTGTAGTTCGAAATCATCAAAAAACTTTAAAAAAAAAAAGAATTAACTAACTAACCTCCACATTTAGGACAACATTCATTTTCTGGTTTATACATATATCCACAATGTGTGTAAGTAGGACATTGTATCATAGCACATTCGACAAGTCCAGCACGACAAGTACATGTAGTACAATGATCAATAGACCATGTTTCATTTTCATTATAGATTTTTTTATCATGATGACATTGTTTTGAGTCTAGATTTAATAAATAAAGAATTCTTTTTGATTAATGTTATCTATATTCCCCTTTGTCTCACCTACTCTGAAAGCATTTAAATTGATCACAACATTGTCCTGGAATATCTCGATTGCCTATACGATGTATTTGAATAATTGAATTTTCTCCACATATTGTTTTTGGACATGTTGAACAGACACATTGACCTCGAGGTTGACAACATAATAATGAAAGATTTGTTGATGAAGATAATGATGTTCGTAAAAGAGGAGTATGATCTTCAATAAACTGACTATCAGGTGGACATATCGATGAATTGGTACGTGTAGTATTGCAAACAATGTTTGAACAATCAATTATGGCGTTAACTAAAAAAAAAAGAAAAGAAATAATTGAATATCTATTTCGAATAATAGCAATTTAAAATAATCACTAAATCTTGCAATAGTGTCATTATTTATAGTATCATATTTCAAGTTCTTTACAATCAATAATGTTTTTATCAGTTTTGTTTTTCGTTTCAAATCGATATTCACTTAAGAAACAAACTACTAATCAATTAAACAACAATTATTTGATTTAATAAGAAAAATATTCGAATTTTAAAACGAATTAAAAAATTTTAAAAGTTCATCTCCATATGGCGATATTTAATGGTACATCATTAACAAATATATTACCGTCCATGGATTTCTATCAAAATACTATTGTTTTATTTTTGTTTTCAATCAATCATAGAGATCTTTAACTACAATTGAAGATGTTATTAATGTTACTATTCATTATACTAATGTGTTTTTAGTTAGTATATTACCCATGTGGAAAAATCTTCCTGTAAGATACTACTGTGCATTTTACACAGTTCTCACCATAAGATTCTTGAAAAGTGTGATGGTCGGAATCTTGTCAGATCTTATATAATCAGTTGTGATAACTATAGTTTTGTGCATTTAAGTAAATATTTATACGATTAAATACGTTCTATTTTAGACACTACTTTTTTAACATTGAAAATACTTCTATGTAACGGTGCTGATCCGCCAAAAAATCACTCCACACATAGGTGAATTAATTTTATTCAATAGAAGTTGGTTTTCTTTTGTTTAAATTGTTTGTTTTAGTTCATTTCAACAATCAAATTCAGTAAAAATAGTTTCTTTTTTTTTCACATTTTTCAAGGGTATATTTGTGTTTTCATTTAGGCTTTGTAATTTTTATAAATAAATATACATATATGAGTAAACATAAAACACTTTCTTGAGAAAACAAGATGATGAAAGCCGACCATTAGGGATGAAAAATTGTAGGAAACCTTGGAAAAGCATGCATGATCTTTATAAGATCTGACATTAAGATCATACAAGATTTTATAATAGAATTGTTAGACCTGGGTACATAAAAAAAAAATTAATTCAATCCTTCAATTAATGTTCTTATCAATGCGATGACTCGCAATGAACTTTTACCAAGTATGATCATGCTTATTGATATTTAACATTTAAATTTTTTTTTTTGAATTTTCATCAAGAGAAAATATTCTTCAAGCTAAGACTGATAGCGAACTTAGTTCAATTTCATTTCACTTTAGCCTTATGTGTTAGTGGTTTTCAAGTAGGAGATAAAGAATTTTTAAATTAAAGATTATAAAGAACATAAAATCATGTTTTGTAATAGAAAGAAAACTAAATTAAATTTAACGAAGAAATTTATTTACTTTTATAATATTTAACTAACCTTGACTTTAAGTTAACATCGCGCATATTCTATCAAAGTAATAGAAAGTAAAAAGACTTAACTTGAATCAATCAGATACAATTTACACTCAATATTAAGAGAAATTGAAAATGATTTATAAGAAAATATCTAACAAAAGAAAAAAACACTAAGTAATCATGATATCGTATACCCCTATTTGCTTAAATTTTCAATTTAGCAATATCATCGTTTCTAAATCCTCGATATAAATTACTATATAATAAAAGTTATAACATAAAACCAACTGATTCTATTTAAAACACAACACCAAAATATTCAATGACTTTTTCTCCTTTACTTTTCATTCTCATTACCATGATGTTTCATGGTATTTATACTCAAATGATTGGACCAAAACCAACAACAACACCAACACCAACACCAACATGTCCATCAATAGATGAAATTACATCTTCTATGGAAAAATTATTCGATGCGCAAACAAAAATTTTGCTAGCAAAATTAGCCGATATGGAAGCACGTTTAAATGATTTAACGTCTTGTAAACCTATGGCACCTAGTGAACTTTTTATGGGTATTTATGAAAATTTGACTATATTCGATGATTGGATATTACTTTACAATAAACCTTATAATCATAATACAACAAGTAAAGAATTAAAAGATATAGCAAATAAATGTAATAGTAATCGTGTTGTTGTTGGAGCAATACAAAATGAAGATTTATCTATACTTAATGTTGCTGCTGTTGGTCCAACACGTGTACTTTATCTAAATACGACAGTTGAAACTCCTGAAGAAATCGAAAATGTTCAATGGCATTTAGAATCTGGAAGAAGTTTTGGTTTTCGACCTATCGAAAATGATCCAGACGAATCACCAAGATCAGAACTTTTCTTAAGTTGGACTATTGATGCTAATTATGGTGGTTGGCGTGCTGGTAAAACTACAAATCTTTATCAAAATTCAATATGGCATAAAGTTATTTATTGTATGCCAACGTTTTAAACAGAAATAAAAGTATCCTTCTTTTTTAAAACGAAAAAAAGAAAGTAAATAATGATGTAATCATCATTTCAGAATAGATCAAATGAAATAGCGAAGATATCAAATCCCGTAGGAGAAGAATTTCGTTTTTTTTTTCTTTTTCATATCATATACTCAAGACAGAGTTCAAGACAAATGTACAGATGTTATGTGTGTGTTTATTTTCACAGCTTATCTTACATTATGCTTCAAGCAAAAAAAGAAAAAAAAAAGAGAAGACTGATACAGTTCTCAGATGATTAACTTATACATACATATGAATCGTCATAGAAAAGAAGTTACACTCAGTTCTGTTTTTGTGCCATTTTTCAGTATAGAAAATGACATCGACATGATTTAAATTCTCTAGTCATTTATCTTTTGCTACAATAATCTCAATATTGTTTTAAAGAAATTCGACATATGTATGCAAACTTAACTATAGAAAGGTCATAATCAAACCTGCTGATTTTGATCAATGCCATATGTTTTTTTTTCTGCTTGTTTCTTCCTTATTTTGTCTAGTCATTCAAACTATACACGTCTATTGAATTAACAAAAACTGATAACTGATTAACTTTGCTTGACACTGATGACCTTTCTTCTATACTACAACCAATTGCAGAGACATCAGCAATAGACTCTGTATGTTATCTCAAAACAAGACAGCAGAATACATTTATATCCGTCAGTTGTTCAATTAATCGATAATAATTTCTTTCGATATAACGGCGATAGGGCAGATGTTTGACCTTTTTTTGTTTGTCAATCAGAATAGATGAATAAATACTTCGTTACACATACACAAACGATTCATCCAGCCAATTCAAGGACAAACATGCCATGTTTATTTTAGCTACTACCACTCTGATAATGCTTATCGATGCTATTCAATTAGAAAAAAAGAAGAAAGATCTACGCATGCTAATGTACCGAAAAGAAAAATTGCATGAATATATAAATGATGATGATCGATCAAAAGACAACATCTCTATAATGATAAATTACTGTGAAATGATAGAGTCAAGCTTACCATCATTTGTCTTCAACAAGCTTAATTCTTGTTCTTGTTTAGATCGTGATTGTTGTTCACAATAATGACTGGTCTTATTATCATTATTTGTATCTTGAAGAAAATTTGCATTACATGGTATACGTCGATTTGCACATTCACATGATGTTTTATTATTTATGTTAACAAGTAAACATTGATATTTCAAACATGCTATAGAAAAAAGACGAAGATGATGTGTTTAACAAATATTCAAGTTTTATATTTTATTCTTACCTTTAACACATATACCAGTTTGCTCAGTAAGATTATTTGAAGTTTTATTAGATTTATAACATAATAAATCTTGTTCACATAAACCATAAACATTAAGATGACCACCACATATTTGATTTTCAGTACGAAGACATACTGTACAACAATCACATTGATCACGTATCAATCTAGCACATTCTTTATTAATTGATTTATATTTTAAACAATAGTCCATAGAACATGACTCGTGACATTCACTTTGATTAGCTGCTGATGATGATAATGGAATTGGTGAAACAAATGATTCAGATTTTTCTTTAGATTTTTCAACAGTAACTGTTGATGATTGTAATTGATGATTAGTATTTGTTAGATTTGTTGTTATAGCAGCCAAAATGGATGTCGAAAGTACAATAATAATGAGCAGAAACCGCCCGATGAGCATTACTGCTCAAGTTCTATGTACATAGTCTTATTCACTAGTAATGGATGAATGATGAGAAGGGAAAATATTGATGATATAAATAACGACTAGTATGAGTGATGGTGCTGTGGAACATCATCAGTGTTGTTGGCTTGTTTGTCGACACCATTAAGTCGCTCCAGTTAAGGTCGACCTGAAATAGAGAGAGAGAGAGAAAAGAGAAAGTATATATGTGGAATATAGAACAAACAAGAAAGAAAGGAAATGTGCACCGTAAATAGAAAGATGAAGGAAGAGAAGATGAAAAATGTGAATAACGAGAACAAAATGAGAGATTTTATTCTCAATCCTTTTTTTTGTTCAAAATGCATTATTACCTTGGAGATCAATTGACTTTCAAAGATACTTAACTATGAAGGTTATGTCAATTACTTTAAGCAAATCTTTCGTTTTTTTTTTTCGTTTTAAATAGAAAACTTTTGAACATTTTAAGAACAGATAAAAATAATATCCTAAATTGAATACAAAGGAATAAAGCCCTATGCAAAATGGCCGATTCTTTTTTTTTCTTGTGAAGCAAATGCAAGTAATACTTTACATTCTACTTCAATTTTCCACACAGGTCTTCCCATTGATCAATAGAACGATTAAAAAATGCTCCAAACTACTTAACATAATATTTAGCTTTGATGTATATATATATTTCTTCGCGTTAGTTTTCTTTTAGACATGTTGCTCTTTAATTTACAGAAATATTTTCCTTTAACACAGTGATTAAAGTTCAAATTTATATGGCTTTAATCGATAGCATTGTCAATGTTGTTAAGTCTTTACAATATTCAACGAAGAAGCCATATTTATGTATATGCTTGTAGTTACCGAGAAAAAAAGCGAAAAACAAATAATATAGCAAAGTTCACTAGACTATTCTAATCACTAGAAATATTTGACATATTCTAAAATAAATAAAACTAAAAAAAAAAACAGAAGCAGGCTCAATTCGTTAAATTAAACTTACAATAACACCAATATTTATATTAAGATAAAGAAAGTATATGTATATGATGTTGGTTATACAGAATAGGAGTTATAAATGATTATTCATACGGAATTCCGTTTTTTCTTCAAGTGATCATATTCATTTAGGTCACAAAAGAAGAAGGAAACCATGGTATGCTGTAATAACAGTTATTTAACTAGAAGTTTTTTTTTTTCTTTATTTTGCTTGGCATTAATATCAATAAAGAAAAAAAA